AGGTGCTTTTCACCTCTAGGAGAACTTTGCATCCTTGTCACTTCCTTTCAAGGCGTTCCTGTGAGAGGAATTGCTCCAAACATTGAACCGCATCTCATCAGTCAGAGCCAGCTCTCTTACAGAGCCACACAAGCCCTGAAGCAGAAGAGCCACCAATTTAGCGTAGAAAGAGGTTGTGACCTGAGATTACCTAGAGAAGATTAATGCAGGTTTCTCACAGGGGCAGGTATCTGTATTTTAACTCCCTGTATTATGCAGCTGAGATGCTGTATTGCTTCCAAAACATTGCAGCTCATCCCCTCCTTGCCCCTCTTGATACTGGTGGTATGAGCTTTGACAGCTTGCTGGGCAGGCAAAGGCTGGGGAGTAATTGAGATTACATGTAGCAGAGCACCATAGCCCACAGAGCCATGCAGCAAGCCGTGTCGCAGGGCAGCATAGACACCAGCAGGCCCGGATGCAGCTTTTCCTGCTGCCTGTGGAGAGCAGCTCTTCCCATTGCTTCCCAGACCCATTCGCCACTGGTCGTGGCTCCAAGCCTTTCTCCTTCTTTAAAGAGCCGCTCAAGCAAAAGATGGATTTGCTTTTTGGAAGAATCCTGCCTCATGTGTTGTGCCTGGTCTGTGGAGCCATTTCCGTAGTAACAAATAGTGATACAGGCAGTGGGATTGCATCCGGAAGCGGAAGGTACAAAAGAAGCCTCATTAAAACGTGACCATCTCAGATGTGTCATTGGAAAGCAGGACAGTAGGCAGCAGGAAAAGAAAAGGGCATCAAAAGGCCCTGCTGAGATAAGTCCTGTTACCTGCTGAGATGTTTACCCTCCCAGAGCAGCATTTCTCCCCTAGTTGCCCATCCAGCTGCTGCAGTTGAGCTCACCTGGAAGCACTGCACTCCACCCAGGCTGCCTTCTTGCTTCTGCACCCCCAAAAAGCTGGGACTCCATTTGTTACCCACTTTCCTCGAGCCTGCATGATTTAGGAGACGCAACATTTGTTGGGAGATCTAATACAGATGCTTGGAGAGAGCTGGAAAACTTGGACAAGCTCTGTTCACAACAGCGCTTCTGGTTTTTATAACGTTCATCTCCATCCCAGATATCTCACAGATATCTTTGCTCAGTTTCTTTGCACAGAAAAGCTGTGGTAGCAGCTGCGTTCAGCTTGTAGCTGCCCGTGTCCTGAGACAAACCCAAGGCAAACGTCAGACCAGTGGGAGATCCCACACACATGATGGTGGATGAGCCAAAGAGCAGACTGGGATTTCTCTTCACCTGCCTGAAGGGTGTGTGCCTGAGGGTTCTTCAGACTAGGGCAAAACCTTTATTTGATCCAGCAAGCCGAGCCGTCTACCTTCACCCTCCTGCTCTCAGTGGTGCAGGAGGTCTGGGACCCAAAAGCCAGGTCCCAGGCCTGTCAGCCCACGTTCTCCCAGTGCTGGAGATCCACCACAGAGACATGGGTCGGCTCTGTGCTCTTGCTGCACTAGGGCAGGGCGCTGTAAGACAAGCTGATAGGGCTGTGCTTCTGCAGGGTGAAAGGCTCTTACAGAGCATGACATCTTTGTGGGGGAGAAAACCAAGAAAGTTTTTTTCCCCTGCTTTTTGCACATTTTTAACCATTTTCACTCCTTCCAGAGAAGTTTTTGAGCCTTCAGTTTAATAAAGAAGGAAATGAGCTGACATTCAATAGCTTTCTGAAGGACTTGAAAGCAGGCACAACTTGCACGCAGAGCTGGTCTGTGACTTCCTGACCTCACTGCACATCCTGTGGCTGCGTCACCCTGTGTGCTGTGCAAGGACTGAGGTGAGAGAGTCCACACTGGCCATCGTGCCAAACAGCTGGGGCTTCCCAAACCGAAGAAAAACCAGACGGGAAGTGGGGAGAAGGAGCAGCAACGTAGAAGGATAGCTAGTTGTCACAGGTAATCTTCAGAATCCGTGTTCAGTGGTTAGTCCTAGAATCGCAAGCCTTGTTATATTGCACATGTCCTCCTTCCACTCCTCACAGCAGCCATCGCCTTTCCTCCCCACTGCCCCATGCGCTAGTGATGAGCATCAGAGGCAGTTGCACCAAAGTGACTCTCAGCCCAGTTCTGCATTCCCCTCTCCCACCCAAACCCAAGGCAGCCTGGACAGTCATTAGCCATCACAAGTCTAGTAACTCCGCTTGGGTTTCTTTCCTTGTGTACCATAGCTTCCTCTGCGTGCGGGACACTACAGGAGGCTCTGAACGTGTCCCAAAATGTTCTTTGCCCCCTGGCAGCACCTTGCAGACATGCACCTTACTGGGAATGTACTGGGTCGATGCTGGTGAGATCTGGCGCTGGGTGGCAACTGATGGGGATCCACGGGGGGAAGCTGGCAAAAAGTGGCTACTGTCCCTTTTCTTTTCTTTTTTGAGGGAGATGGGGATTCTTTGGCATTGTGATTATTGTCCACCTTCCAGTGGCCAAGTTCTGGGCTGCATTAATAATTGAGGTTCATTGGCTGTCCAGGCAGGTATGGAGCTTCGCACCAACCTTAATAGCAAACATCGTGGCTGTCTTCAAATCCTGGATACAGGCTGGGGTTCTCCCATGCTGGAAAAGTGCTTTCAGCAGGCTCCAGATAGACATTTCTGGCAGGTAGGAAAACAGCATTCCTCCAAGTCCAGATCAAGTCTGCACTTGCATTTTGTGTCCTCAGCTTGGAAAAAAATTCAATGCAAGCAGATTTTTTCCAGGTCTCCCTTACCTGTGTGGTGCCTGGCACCACAGGGGAAGGGGTGGTGGGACGCATTTCAAGATTACCAAAAGCAAGATCCTTTTTGGATGTATTTAATGGAAATATCTTTCAGGAGGAGAGACCTCCCGACCTTTGCGTTAATCTGAAGAGCATGAGATGAATTTCCGGCTGTCCTTGCATATAGTGAAACATAGCTGAAACAGCCAAATGCAAACTAGAGTTAAATGTAGGGTTTGACCTGAATAACCTTTTAATTAGGAAGATAAATTTGTTGTAGCTTGACCTTAGTCCATGTTAGGAACCTGCTAATCATTTGACATGCAGAGTGTATTAATGCTGCACTTAACTTGGCCATTGGTTTTATTATATGGTTTTGGGAGTTTTTTCACTCCCGAAGCATCAATCTACATCTTGTGTGGGTTTTCTTTTATTCTTTTTTTCCCGTTCAGAACATGTAGCACACTGTTGTACTTCTGTTCCCGTCTGTGTAGAGTATTGCCTTAAACAGATCAGTTATGTTGTGGTTTGTTTTGGGTTTTCTTTTTTCTACCATCCATGTTATGCATTAATTTATTTAAAAATGTGGAATTTTTTTCAAAAACATGAAACATGTATAATATTTTTTTTAACATTTCCATTGCAGTATTTATCATTGTTACTGGTTGTGTGTAGTGTAACAGAATTAATGATATTAAAAAGCATACATATAAAAACCAGCTTGCCAGCCTTTCTAATTAGAGTGAACCCGGGGTGAGAGGGTATGAACTGCACCATCTTCTCTGAGTCTCCAGCAACCACAAGTCCTGCAATGAGCCAATACCAGCCTGTTTGAGCCCAGTAGAAGCGGCTGGTGTGGAGCTGTGCTGTATTGGGCACAGGTAAACCCACTGGGGCCGGCCAGCCCCAGCCAGCATTTGGGAAACACTTCTCCGCAAGGCAGCAAGAAAGTGTGTGGGCTGGATCCATCCCCTACATCTGGGCCATGACAGGCAGAAAGAAGTGCTGCATCTGTACAACGACGATGGGTGAAATGGCCTTTTCTTCAGCATTGCAGCCATTTCTGCACCTTGAAGCTGTTGGCACAAGAGGTCAGCGCTGATTTTAAAGTCCAACGCCAGCAGCTGGAAACCCCAGGGACCACCAGGGACAGGGGACAGCTGGGGGGTGCAGTGTCTTATACTGGCAGCTGGTCCGGTGCAGGATCAGTCCCCCTCAAACCAAGAGGCTTGGACTCCACCTCTCTGCAGAGCAGTGCTCCCCAAACTGGTGCTCTGGGGTGCCCCAAGGCCACCACGCTGAGGAGAGGGTAAGCATCCCTGTGTCCACCCTTCCCTCCCAGCCTGCCAGGAGAGAACTGGGTTGATGGAGAGCCTAAGCCTGGTCAGCAGAAACCACAGGGGTAGGGGGGGGTAAAAATCAATGGCAGTTTGTTTTCCTGATTTCATCTGTTAACACCACTTAATTGCATTTGCCTGGGGGCATTCGGTTGTCCCCAGGCCGCCCATCCCCACCATCACCCACAGCGAACAGAGCAGGGCTTGACAGCCCTTCATGGAAGGTGAGTTTGTGCCCCTCCCTAGCATAACCCCTCTGCCTTTACACAGAGATGGATGAGGATCTCACACTGACTGCAGAGCCCATCACTCAGGACAGAAGAGCAAACAAGCCACACAGAATCACCTAAATACAGCTTTTTAATTATAGTTCCCCTGGTTACCCCAGCAGCCTGGGACACCAGTGCCTGGTGCTGTGCCCTGGGCACTGGCTGGCCCAGTGCGGGGCTGGGTA